AAAAAAAATTTACTTTGGAAAACACATTTAATGTATTTCCACTTTGGAACCCAATTTTGGGGCTCACTTCAAGATAAATGTGCTTCCTTATGTTCTCTCTCAGGTGATTCTTGTTTACTCTTCGCGCGACCTTCTGTCAGCGAAGATGTGTACTACTCGTTCGCGATTTTCGTGAAATATACAAGGATTTTCGTGGAATATACAATTCATACAATTTTGAACATTTCATCGACATTTGCACATTCTATGATTCTATATATATTCATTTATTGTTTCGGAATATTTGGTATATTAGGTATTTTGGTATATTAGTAAAAAGAAATCCATTATTTTTTCATGCAAAAATAATGATTTCTTTTTACTACCTAATATATTGATAGTACGAATCGAATTTTCTATGAATATTTAGCGTTAGCTGAACATTACAATTTTTTTTTAATGGAGGATGTATAAGGTGTCCCAAAATTACCACCAAATATTTTGTGCTCATGTAGAGAACTGAACGGAAGTCGAAAAGCCTTATATCATTTTACAATTTTCGCAATAGTTAATAAGAAATTACTAAAAATCGCTGAATATTGATTTTCAATCATTTTTTACTCAAGTACTATCAACTTTACAGAAAAACGGCAAGAGACAAATCTTATTAATTCTTCTCAGAGGAATATTCCTCTCAGAGGCTCCTCTAAGAATTTTTTCAGAATTTTTTTTTCAACTTTTTAATCCTGTATTTTCTTATTGGTAATTATTTTTATCAACATGAGAAAATGTACTAAAAAATTCTGAAAAAATTTTTCTACACATAACGTAATAGCAAAGAAGAAAAACTCCAAGTTTCCAATAGTACGACGTAGTGTAACAAAGAAAAAAAAATCGAAGTTTCCTATAGTTTATTATGGGGAGTAAGGCCTATATCGCGATGACTGACTCCCTGAAATCGGCCGATGAGTCAAATTGGAGGGGGAAGCGCTTAGCAGCGCAGCTGACTCGCAACTACTATTTGACATGCGAATGTATGACCGGATAAATCCTCCCATTGTAAAAATTATTATTTTAAATCGTTTGTATTTCCTACGATCAGTTTTGAAATGCAATTAAAAAGATTTGTGAGTTATTCTATTATTAGGTATACAACTTTGCTTCCGCCGTTTTTTTTCCGAAATTCGAGGCTTTATTGTAAAAAACTGGTTATACATTTATGATTCAAAGTATTGTCCATCGCTGGCCACTACTTTCTCCCATCTTTCGGGTAGCGTACGAATCCCGCGTCGAAAAAACTGGTCATCTTTTGAGGCTATCCACGAATCGATCCAATTTTTTACTTCTTCATAAGACCGGAAGTGCTGGTCAGCCAGGCCATGTGCCATTGATCGAAACAAGTGATAGTCAGAGAGAGCAACGTCTGGAGAATATGGCGGGTGGGATAGAATTTCCCATTTCAACGTTTCCAAGTATGTCTTGACCACTTTCGCAACATGAGGTCGAGCATTGTCATGCTGCAAAATCACTTTATCGTGTCTCTCGTTGTATTGCGGCCGTTTGTCTTTCAATGCTCGGCTCAAATGCATCAATTGCGTTCGATACCGATCGCCTGTGATTGTTTCAGTCGGTTTTAACAGTTCATAATACACTACGCCGAGCTAGTCCCACCAAATACAGAGCATGACCTTGGACAAAATCACCGTTCTTGAAGCGTTGAAACCACTCACGACACGTTCTTTCACTAATAGCGGCCTCACATAGTATTTGATACTATAAGTATTTGAGAGCATTCGATGAGCCTCAGCCGCATATTTCTTCATATTGAAGCAAAAAATTAAAACTTCCCGCAAATGACGAGAATTTGGCTCGTAAACTGACATTTTCAATCGAGAATAACTTTATGCAGACACAAATCGACTAATGTTTCTATGGGGTTATGTTGACAGATGCCCAAGTTTATTGTATGACGTCTATGATCTATTTATTTCGACCAACACTTACTGTTAAAGCCATCTATAGGAAAACGGCGGAAGCAAAGTTGTACACCTAATATATAAAATATCCCTGAAGAACACAATGAGAAATTATCATTACATACTAATATTCCTACTTTATAAAAAGTTATTAACTTACATAACATTAATTTTATATGAACGGATGAATAAGCTATTCTTTTTATATAAACCTGAACTAACACAAAATTCCCACAATAATTCTCTCAATAATTCTTACTCTAAAAATAATATAACCATATCTAACTCCAACTTTATAATATATCTCTGTTAATCTAATTAACCCATACCTTCCTATTTTTAATAATACGCCAGCTAAAACTATTGACCGGGGCTTCAACATGGATCTTAGGTAGTCAAACATGAAATAAATAAATACGTATTTTAATAAAAAAGGCCATATACATTATTAAAAATCCTCAAAAAGTAAATTTATGACTACCTATAATTCTCACTATTAATCTAAATTTCACAGTTATCCCA